TTTTTTATATAGTAATAATATTATTAAAATTAATATTTAATATTTTATAAAGAAATTAACAATTATTTTTAATTTCGCAGGCAAATTTGCCTGCCAAACAATCTAAGGGATAGTAATAACAAATTTTCTTATAACGAAAGGCTGATCAGTCCAGATGCTAACTTCATTATATTGAGATGTGACTATAATTATATAAGCGATTTTTGTGTATTTTTATATTAGTTATGTTACTCATAGATTCTACAAATTTACAAAAAAAAAAGTTCTGCTATTAGAGTAAATATAAAAAAAGAAATATATGAATATATAGTGGTTAATATTTATGTAAAACATTCTGCAGTGGCTTCTTTTTTTAATACCAAATATAATTTGAATATTAATAGAACAATCATAACTAAAATTTGAAAAAAATGTGAAAAATGATTAACTATTCTTTTTAGTTTACAAATTTTAAAATCTTTTAAACAATGTTTAGTTCAATTTCCATTACTTGACAAAGCTATGCAAATATAGACTTCACAAGCAGTAACAGCAGAAATTCCTTTAACTGATATGATATTACAACAAAAAAGGTTGGAGTTTGCAAAAAAATTAAATATTGAAAATGAAGTAAAATGTGCTAATGGATGGATATACAGGTTTAATTAAAGAAATGGTTTTCAAAAAATTAAATTTTTGGAAGAAACTAATAGTACATCACTTAAAACTCTTTTAAAAAAGTGTTTAAAATTACAAGTACTTTTATCTTAATATAATAAAGAAGGTATTTATAATGCTGATGAAATAGGATTATTTTTTAGAATAGAATCTAATCAAACATTTAGTACAGGAACTATTGCAGGTCGTAAAAAAGTAAGTAAAATTATTATAAATTATTAATTTTATTATAATTTATATTTAATAATATTTATTTTTAATTTATAGGATAAAGTCGGATTTCAATTCTTTTTTGTACTAATACTACAGGATCACATAAATTTTCACCTCTTGTAATTGAAAAATCATTAAATTCTCAATGTTTTAAAAATATTAATAAGTCAGCATTACCTGTAATTTATAAGCTAATTCAAAGGTTTGGATAAGAGCAAATATTTTTATTAAATAGCTTTATAATCTTAATTATTATTTTCATAATAGATCAAAAAAATTTTACTTTTTATTGATAATTTGGGATCTCATTTTAATTCAAAATAATTTGAACAAAAGAGTGAAATGGAAAGTGAAAATGATTTAAATAGTAAAAATAGTAAACAAGAATCAAGTCAAAATCATCAAAAAAAAAATAAAAAACAAAAAAACAAAAAAAAAAAATATTAAACTTACTAATATTAAGTTAGTATATCTTTCATCAAATATTACAGCTCATCTTCAACCTATGGATGCAGGGATAATTTATAGTTTTAAAGCAAAATACAAACAAGAATTTTGTAAACATATAATTCATCAATTTGATTCTAATATTAATTATATAAAGTAAGTAGTAAAATATTAATTGTGTTTATTTATTTTATTAAAATTAATAAAATTATTATTTTACTTTATTTAGAAATAAAATAAATCTTAAAGAAGCTATTGATTATGTATTTGAAGCTTGGAATAATGTTAGTCAAAAAATAATACAAAATTGTTGGAATAATATAGATGATGAAGAAATGGAAAAAGATATTGAATTAAATGATATTGATAATTTTTTGATTATTTGGAAGAAACTGATAATCTAAAAGAATATTTTCAAATTATTAATGAAGATATTTTAACTGAAGAAAATTTAAGTGATGATCAAATTGTTAATTTAGTAAAAAATAAAGATGAGAAAATTAATAGGAGTGATAATGATATTTCTGATAAAGAAATACCTTTGATATCAACCAAAAAAAATATAAAAAGGGTAAAAACATTTATTAATTATTTTGAACAACAAAATAATCTGAAGTTTAATTTGAAGATTTAAATATTGTTCAAAAATACTTATGAATTATTAAAACTAAGGAGTTTAATTCAAAGAATCAAAGTATACTTGATGGGTTTTTTAATAATTAGGTATTTTTTTTTTTAATATTATTAAAAAATAATAAGATTTTTTTTTAATAATGTTAAGTAATGTTTTTTTTAGTATAATGTTTATATAATATGTTTTATTTTATATAATATATTTTTTATATTATATAGTGATATAATATAATTTGGGTTTATACATTGAAGTAAATTTAATAAAGTTTATGTTATGTTAAAAAAGTACAAAAAAAAGTATTGTAATTATACAATATGTATTATAGTTGCATAAAGTTGAAATTTTATGATTACGTTTTACAAACTTTAATTTTAAAAAAAGTTATAAATACATGGTATGGTGAGTTTGTAAAGGTGGGAAGAGGAGCTTAGATAGTGAGTAAATTTTTTTTTTTTATATTTCATGAAATTTAAAGTGATTTTTGATTCTAATAAAAGTTTTTAATTTTTTATCTGATTTTTATGATTAAATATTCATTTGAAAGAGAAAAAAATTCTATTTAATATTATACAGTTATATTTATTGATTATTATATAATTTTATTATATGAATTTAAAAATTGATCAAAAAATATTTTTTTTATAATCATATTAATATTAAAATTTTATAAGTATATGATTATATAATAAAAATCTCAATATAAGCACACCTCATTATAATTACAGTAATTGTTAGTCCCAAAGGGTGTGACTATAGTGGAGGATAATTATATTAAAATATAATTATCAATATTATCATTTATTTTAATAATAATAATAATAATAATTGTATCAAATATTATATAATATTTAATAAGAAATATTAATAAATTTGATATATGATTTTATTAATATTACAAATAAATCCAATTTAGCAATGCATATATATTACAAAGTGTTTTATAAATATATTTATTAATCATATTTTAAATAAGAAATCATCTTTAAATAATTGATATTATAAAAGTGAATTAAGAAGTTTAATAGGTTTACAAATAACTCAATTATTATAAGAAGAAATTTTATAAATAATTTTATAGATTCTTTTTACTAAATTCTTTGATTTGTAAATTTTTATAAATACTATTTATAATAGCAAGGTAATTTAGTTGATGATTGGTTCCTATACTTTTTACCTGCTTGGTAAAGTTAATTTTATAAAAATTATTTTAGTTACATAAGCAAGAATATCTTTTATATATAAAGTATTTGTTAAAATGAGAAAATGGATATTATTTAGAAATGACTTTCGAAATGACTAATAATTTGGCAATTCTAAATTTTGATCAGATTACGGAATTGGGCGAGTTTTGGCAATAAACGTGTTTCGGAAGTTACGAATTAGGCCGTAACCCGAAGCCTTAAAAGGGCGAAACGTTTCGCCAACTTAACAAAACAGTTTTATCCCGAAACCAAATCAATTTTCAAAAAAAAAATGAACCTCTTAACTGCGCCGAGCAACCTAAAACTGTTTAGATTGATCAGCAGAATCGAACGGGAATTCCGCCAAATCATTGTGGGTCATCTCTACGTTTGTGAATACCCCATAGGTCACGGTTTATTTGTGACATTTGCTCTTTCCTCACATGGGATAGATCCTGCAATTTTGCGCGTTTTTGTTTAGTTACTTGTGTTGTTAAATAAGAAACACATATGAAAGGTAATATTATTTGGCAGCATACGCGTTTTTTTGTCATACCGAATGTTTATGTTTTTTTCCCAAGAGATTTCACAGATAATGAGGTTAATAAATGAATTGAATATAAATTAAAAAAAAATGCTACATAATAAAAATATAATTAGATATTTTTAGAATGGAAGATGTTATTTAATCATTTGGTATTACCTAATCATTGTTTTCCTTTCTTTCCAATTTTTACTATCCACTAAGAAAGAATTCACAAAGAAATTTATCTATAATCAAAATTAGATATTTTTTTTATCGCTTGCATCCCCAAAACAATTCTAAAATTAAAATTTAAAATTTGTCAGAGAAAAAAGTATTACGCGCAATTTTGTAACATCCATGTGACAAGTAAAACTTCGATGATCTAGTTAAATATTGGTTAGCGTATTCAAGTTAATATTGGGAAAGGGCGTTCCTAATTAATAAATCGCTGCGTAAAAATGATTCTAGCTGATTAGTTTACTGCGCGAAGACAATCAATATTTATGGAAGACACCAACCACATGATGATAATTTGTCATTATGACATTCGGTCAAAACCGAAGTGAAAAATTATCACGCGATCATTTACTTTGGAAACAATATCTCGTGATACAACATTCTCTAGAAGTGGTATTAAAAATAAAATAAACATGAATAACGTTTTTTAGTTATTATTTCACTCTTATTTATTTCTTTTAGGCTTAAGTACCAACCTTTTATTTGAACCTTGGTCGATGACGTAATCGCAAATGCCTAGAAAAGTCGATTCTTTATCTTTCTCACACAATGATATCCAAAACTATATAAAGAAATCGCGCATGTGTATCTTGTACTTTACTTTATATGGATCATTATTGAAAAAAAAAATTTTTTTTCCTCCCTTGTTTCCCTTAGTAACTCCTTGTTTTTTTTTTCTTTCCTCGCGAGGTTGTTTATTTTTTTTGGTTATCTGATGAAAGAAAAGTATTTTTTCGTTTACGCGATATAGTTTTATGTTATTTTGATCCGGTTGTAATATACTTATCGTTGGTGTGAAAGTATTCTATAACCCGATATTAAAAGTGAAAATAAAAAAATTTTTTTCTTTTACAAATCATAAGGTCTTTTTTTCCTTTTACGTTTGTCAAATAAAAAAAGTTTATAAAGTATAAAATAGTTTCTTTTCTTAAATAAAAATTTCTTATAAACAAAAAAAAAACCTATACATATATAAAATAACGATAACGCATTTACCAAGCTACGAAATGAATAATCCTAATGAAAATCAAGTTATTGATATTAATAACGCTAGAATCTCTAATGTGACTAGACCATCAAATGCTAACAGCTTGATTAACGATCGAAATAATCAGAATTTGTTTAACTGGGTATGAAAAAATAGGAAAAAAACCTTAATTTGAAAAATTCGAGCTTTTTTGTCTTTATTTTATTTTATTTAAACTGATCGATCAATAATCATTTCCTTTTTTGACAACGAATATCAATAGTGTGAAGAGGATGGGGAATTTGAGTTTGATGATGAATTTCCTAGGATTGTCAAGAATCAAGTTGAAGTTGTGCAACAAGGAGGTGATCATCATGGATCTCAACCACAGCCGCAACTTGATTTGGTTGATAATAATGGTGATTTCAATTTTGAGGGAGATGGAATCATTGGATCGGGGCAAATTTCTTCACTTAATAATGATCAAGTAATTACAACTATAACAAATGATAGGAATGTCGTTGAAGGGCAGAAGCAAAATGACGAAGAGGAGGTTGTGTCTTCGCAACCATCTCCTACCGAAAATATTAATCGGGGTCATAATTTTCAATTTGGTGAAGATTTGGATGAGTTGATGGTAGAAGAAATTGGTAAAATGAATCATGGTAATTTATGTACTGCACAAAATAATGAAGTTCCCGTGCAATCAGTTTTGATTGATCAAAAGGATGTTGTTACTTTAGAAGATGTGATTACAAAATCTCAATCCCCTGAAAAAGTTCAGAAGTCTAAACAAACGCCACAAAGAGGCAGACAAAAGAAGGGTGCAAAGAAGACAAGATTTGATGCAGAAATAATAACTTCATCTGCTGAAAATCCTAAATCGTCATCATTCAAATATAAAAATGATCAAGCCGACCAAAATGATTATTCGTCAGGTAATATAACGAATCCTTATTTTAATCCTTCTTATCTTAATTGATCTAATGAATATCTTTCATCTATATTGCTTTTAATGTCTTAGCCCCAGAGAATGATCCAAAAACTAAATCTGGTAGAAAGGTTCAAAGGCCAGAGTATTTCAATCCTACAATTTTTGGATATCGCAAAAAGCTTGCATTGGAATCTAAAGACTTTGTCAATAATAATACTCCAAAGAAAACATATAAAAAAACTGGTATGTAAAGTAAAGTAAAATTTCGTTATTCACCTTTATTATAAGGGAAGAAAGAAAATTATTAACGTAAATCGTCGTTCTTTATTAAGGTAAACGTAGAACCAAGCACAAGCTAAAAAATGCGAATTTTCCACAAAAGTCTGAAAATAACCCTCCAGAGATCTCATCAGAAGATAAACAAATGTACGCGATAGATGCTTCAATGAATTCGCAAGACTTAATACCAGTACAAACATCAAATGGATCGGTTCTTTATGATCCAAACAATCCATCTACAATATATGTTGATCCTGAAGATGATAACATAGTATGTACTGTTTGTTGTGATGGAACTTCTGAAAGACAAAATTGGATCGTTTTTTGTGACAAGTGTGACGCACCCTATCATCAACGTTGTCATAGACCCATAATAGAAGATAACGTGGCGGAAGATTCTCATTCCGAGTGGATATGTGCAAAATGTAAAAATATACATCGGTTTAGTAAACGAATAAAAGTTGAGAAAAAGAATCAAGAAAAACATGAGATTCATGAGGATAACGAAATGATCCATGAAATAAAACCATTGCAAATTGGTGCAGTACTGACGAGAGAACAGGTACTTACATGTTATTTTATGTGAATTAATCAAATAGGGTCGTAATAACTTAAATAAACATTATTAAAATTTTTAGAAAGTGGAATATCTTTCGTCTTTATCGCAAGATGTTTTGGTAAACCTTTTATTATTAGCGGAGCAAATGGAGCCTAATATCCCATTGTATCCGGCAAACATTTTGGGAAAATATACATCTAATATGTCACCTAGCAATAATGAAACGGATGACACAAACCGATCCGTTCAAGACACAGGGGAGTTAGTAGTGGATGTACCTTCTGGGTTATCGACAGCGGAGGTTTCAAACCTATCAACGTTGGACATATCAACAAATTTAAATCCTGAAAATATTGAAACTGCACCTCAAAATATTTCGGATCAAGATATTCAACAAGAACCTATAACTCCTGAATCAGAGCAAAGTATACCTTCTAGCAGTTTGAAAGAAATAACCGAACATAGTAAAGATTCATATTTACATCTGTACATAAAAGCAATGTCCGAGATCGGAAATCCTAATGGCAGCACGGCACAAACTATGCATGCCTGGATAAAAAGGTTTGTTTGTTAATCGATATTTTCCTTTTTTTAAAAAAAAACCCCCCTCAACAATAAAGATTAACTGAATATTAAATTTTTAGCAATTATAATGTACCGGAGAATTTCTCCGCACGTGCAAAAAAATCTCTTCATTATGCCGTTCATAAGGGCATTTTCATAAAAAACAGTAGGATGACATATAAATTTAATCCCGATTATATTAAAGTGAGTTTGTGATTTTGATATTTATACGAAATATTACAGTATTATTAAAAATTCCTATATATCCTTTATTTTTCTTCATAGGCGGTCAATATAAATGAAAATACAACTTCAACTCCAGCTCAAAATATGGAAATAAATGTTAATGATAATGATGGTACATCTTACAAGGAAATTACGACAGAATTACAGAATGATGGAGAAACACCTGGTATTGAAAAGCAGAATTCTTTATCAGAAATCAAAGATTTTAATTTTTATCCAAATCAAGAATTCTTTCTTGACTCAATTTTGGATGCGAATCTTCTTGGTAAAGGTGAAGATACTTATACGCCATCGACTAATTCTCAAAGATCCAGTTTGACAAATACGGATAATCATAATGCAGAGAACGATAAACATAACGTTTCTATTACGGATCAATATAATCAAATATCGACATCACCTGATAAGCAACCATCATTACCAGCACAATCTCAATCAATATCGAGATTACAAAAGATTTCGGTTAATACGCCAATGATGATTAATAATGAACAAACGCGTTTAGATGTTCGACTTCCACCATTGGCACCTAAACCATCGATTGACGTTCTTCCATCGATAATCAGGAATAGTTCTGTTCATTATCAACCATCACAGCAACAAATCACCAACCGTCAAAATGAATTAATTTCCAGTTCGATTGGAGGTAATAATTATTTTTCATATTCAATAATTCAAACGCCACAAATTCTTCCCAAGAAACGAACTTTACCATTACCTCAAGTTAATAATAATCATATCACAAAAATTCGACCTTCATCCACTATATCTCCGAATTATTCTATTTTAATGCCAACAGTTATCAGAGGTGGTAATCAACAATCGCAACAGTCACAACAAATGTATGATCATACTAAAATACGAGTGTCATCATCATCGATTCCTTCACTTCAATCATTGCCAACGATGCATAATTCAACGACAATGCCACACTCACCACTGCATTCACTGCAACAGCATCAAGCCTGGCCGTCATCATTCAATCCATTTTATATGACACCACAACCTGCTGGTGATAACCAATATACAACTTTATTTGATAATACTTTTTATGATCCAACACCTCAACCACCGCAACAACAACATCATCAACAACATAATAATCAAAATAATGTGGTTAATGATTTACATCAACAGCAACAGCGTCATAATGAAAACAATTCTTTGTTTAATAGAATAGGTAGTCAACAAGATAATCTTGGTACTTCAAGATCTTCTTTATCGATGTAATAACGAAGGTATGACGGAATATTAATGATTTTTTGTAAAAGAAAAAAAAAAGAAGAGAATGAAGTATAGAAGAGAATTAACGAATAAATTAGTTGTTTTGATATGGATATATATATTTTTTGTATATAATAAGTTTATCAATGAAAAAAAACGTGTAAATAATAATCATAATAATAATAATAAAAAAAAAAATATAGAACTTCTCAATGTTTTCATGAAGAAAAGATGTAAAGCCAAACCCTATGCCCTTTTTGAAACTGTAATATTTTTTTTATTTCTCATTAAAAATTTTTTGTTCTTATATCAGGTTTTTTTGAAACCTTGGGTTTGCTTTCTTCGATTGACAAATTCAAGATACTCTTATTTAAACGGCAAAAAGAAAGAGTAATTATTAAAATATAGTACTTCAATCTCAAAATGTCAATTTTTAGTAAAATAAAATTTATAACTTTGAACTTCTGTCGGTTACATATATTTTTTGCGGAAAAAACAATGAGAAATATGTCGGATCAAGGGACGAGGAGCTTTGTCGATCTGGTTGATCCGATTACTTAAAAGGATCATCATGATAAACAAATAACGAACTTTAATTTTTAATGATGCATCAAATATTTAATGCAAATATAGTAACTCATAGAAATTTAATTTTAATTCATTGTGATACAAATAAATGTATTAAATTAAATAAAATATTTTTTTTGGTTAATTAATGTTAATAAAAAAAATTTTTTTTTTGATTATACTAAAATAAATAAAAAACAATTTAAATATTTTAAAAAAATATAATTGTATTTGAATTGGATTAATAAAAATAAAACAAAACACACTTGTTATAATTTTATATATAAATCACATTATTTAAAAACTTTTATTCAGATTAATTTAATAATATAATTCTAAAATAAAATGAATAAGTATTTAAATTATTTAATAATTCTTTTTCCTATACAAATTTTATTTTAAGTCTTATATTCAACTTTTATTTTTTGTATAATTTAATATTTATATTATTGTGAATAACATTTTAAGTTTTATTAATTATTATTAATAAATATAATACTTTTAAATGTTTTTAATAAATTTAAAATTTAAAATATTGTAATATTTAAAATATTAGTAAAATTAAGTTATAAGATACAGTATATAAAATCTAAACCAAAAATCATGTACACAGTATGCACATTTTTATGACATCATATGTGCACAAAATAATTTGAATGTGCACAGAATTTTCTAAAAATAGCATGTGCACAATATGTATACTATTAAACATTCAAAAAGATGTGCATAAAATGTATATAGATAAAATTTAATGTGTATTAAATGTACTCAAATCAAATTATAATATTTATTTACAAAAAGTTAAAAAATAATTACAAAAAAAAAAATTAACAAATAGTTATAACTATTTTTGATTAAATCTAGGAATCCCATTCCAAAAAGTATATGCTTTTTCATAATCATAATTACTAAAATCTTTAGGACCATTTAAAGAAAGAAGTAAATGAAGATTTAATATCTGTATTGACATTTTGTTACGCAAATTTGTTATAATTAAATTTTGATGTGAAAAAACACATTCAACAATATCATTTGATAATGAAATTATTAAGGCTAATTCAATAAGTTTTGTTAAATTGGGAAATTGATCATGAAAACTAATATTATAATTAAAAATACGATATTACACTTCAATAAATTGAAAACTTTTGTAATCACAAAGAATATTGCAAGCTATCCTTCATTCTTTAATTAGAGCATTTCCATTTAATAAAGCTTTACATATAATATTGCTTTCATTTTTTTTAGGTTTTCTATAAAATTCTACTAAAATTTTGATTTCATTTTTTTCAAAAATATTTAATCCATCCCGATTATTAGAAGTTTTATTTGAATCTAAAATTCTCATTAAATAATATAAAGCAGAATCTGGAAATCTATTTCTTAAACTTTTAATAATTGCTTGTGTAAATTGATTAATAGTAACTATAAAATATAATAAATAAAAAATGATAAATTATTATATTATATAATTATTAAAATTAAAATTAAAATATTTACCTGGTAAATCATCACCTGATAAATTATATTCATTTATATAATTATTTAAATGAATTCTATAACATGGTAAAGAATTTTGATTTCCAATAAAATCTGATGTTATAGATTCAATTATCATTGATAATTGTTGATGAGTTTCAGTTAAAGATACATAATCTGACTGGAAAACTAAATTTATAGATCTTAAAGTTGAAAGAATATCAGCCAAAAATTTTGTGAAAATATAAAATTCAGTTGTAAATGCTTGGTGTAAAAAATTAGCTAATGAATTTGTTTTATTTTGTTAAATTAATGCCAAATAAATATCATCAAGAATTTGATGAAAATTATTAATAACCAGTGTCTAAGAAAGACATCTTGTATTAATAATATTTAAAATTGTTAAATCAGGATTTTCATTATTTTCTTGTATTGATTTTAATTCATACATACGTTTGTAAGAATTAGAAAATAAGTGTAAATAGATTTAACAATTTCCTTATAACTATTAAAATAAGAAACTTCTTTTGTGACATCTTCAGCTGCTAAATGCAACCGATGTGCAATACAATGATTAGAGAATAGGTAAAGATTTCGCTTTTTTAATAAAGCAGCTAATTCATTTTAACTCCTATAAATAAATAATTATTAATTAGTATATTATAAATTAATAATCAATAAAATATTTTTTAATTAAATACAAACCTGTCATATTTGGTGCTCTATCACTTTCTAAATGATACAATTTATTTGCTGGTAAACCTTTTTGTAAAATAAATGAATCTATTGCTTTAAGTAATGACTCTGCAGAAGTATTAGATACTGCAGTAATTCCTAAATAGCGTAAAGTTAGAATATTATTAACCATGTGTTTTGAAACTAAAGCTAATGTTTTTTCGCCAGTTGATACTGTGTTATTTTCATCTATTAATAAATTCCAACATGATGATGATTTAATTTTATTAATTAATGCTTCTTTTATTGAACGTGCTAAAAATACTAATAATTCATGTTCACTAACTTTATTTGTATAAGTTGCATAATTAGATCTAGGTATTTGTAAGGCTTTTTGTTGTGATAAATTTAGTGGTCAGAGTACTTGAAAAGGAATATTACTAACCATAGAAGTAGGATGTTCTTTTTGATAATTAACTAAATTAGCTAAATCAGGATAAATATTCATAGCAATATTTTGTGAAGAAAGAAAATAAATATTGCACATTTGAATAACTACATTATTCATACTCATTCCTAATATTTGATTTACGCTTTCTTTAATACTAGTTTGACTTAGACTAAAAATTTGTAAAGAATTTTTATATTCAACTGAATTTTCATGTCTTTTAACAAATTCTAATTTTATTGTATTACATCCTAATGTTGCCCATAAACTATTACCTTTTGCTTTTTGACAAATAGTACAAAACATAAAATTTTATTATCAATAATTTGTTGTTCTAATCATAGTCTTCCTATTTGCTAAAATAATTTAAAAGTTAAATTTTCTTTTTTTAAATGATTAGGATTTTGTTTTTTTTTGTATATTATAGATTTTTTATTATTATTATGATTGCGAGGATTACGTCTAGAAGAAGTATGTGATAAATTGGGTTGTGATGTAGATAGAGGAATAGTTTCAGTTAAATTAATAGATGTGAAAAGATTTGTTATTTATTGTAACATTTTGAATTGAAACTTATAAAATTATTTATTAAAATTAAAGGTGAACAAATGAAAAAAAAAGTGAAAAAAAGGTGTGAAAAAAAAAAGTGCTCTGAAATAATTCAGCATCTGTTCTGAATCTAAATTAACATAATCAGATTATTAATTTTTATTCAATTATTTTATTTAAATTACTATTATAATTCTACCATTTCATTCTAGAGAAAGAAAGGGCCAAGAAACTAAATAAATAAAATATAATTAGTGTTATTTCATAATGTCATTACACACCTACTCACCAACTATTCAATTACACTTACTGTAAAATTCAATTATCCAAGAAGTTTGGCATCTATAGAAAGAACATTAGAAACATTTCTTAATACACATCCCCATTCATTTTAATTTACCTATTCAATTCGACTAAGTCCAGTTTTTTCTACAAAAGAAATAGTTCGCCATACTAAATAAAAAAGAAATATTAATATTTTTTTTAATGAAATTATCTGACTTTTTTTATACTTAAGTCCAGTTTATCCAATTATCTAAATCTCTAAAACTATAAAAGAGAAGTTTTGCGTCATAGAAAAAATCCAACTTACAAAAAATTTTTTTATTTTTACCAAATGACTAATAGTATAATATGTGCGTAATATGTGCATTATAATGTACGTAAAATGTGCGCAATTTGTATTACTGTACACAAAATGTGCAAAAATAAATTTTTTATATGCAAAATGTATACATATTTATGACGTAGTTTATGCATAAAATTTTTTGATGTGCACAAATACGCATTATGCATGTAGATTTTACACACTAATAAGATATAATAAATTATATAGGAATATTTCCAGTAAAATTAATTTATAAAATATAATAAATCATATAATCTATAATATAATTTACTAAACGATACCATATGATCTATAATATAATATTACTAATACTACACCTATTTATTATTATTATATATAAAGTTGTAATTTATAATTTAATTTATAATAGTTTTTATTTTAAAGTATTTACTATAAAGTATATTTTATAGTATTTTATATATAATGATATCTTCTTCTAAACTAGCTTAGAATATAAAATACTCTGAATATCAGGGTTAGCAAATGATCTTGAAATGACCTTGAAATTATCTCAAATGATCTTATTATAATTATAAATTTCAAGTCAAAAGACCTTATAATTTGCTAATTCTGCTAAATACTATTCATCACAATATTAAATCTATATAAAAATACATGAATAATTAATATAATAAAACTATATTAGTTTTAATAATTTTA